CCGCGGCAGCGCGAGCCCCATGCCGTGCCGTCCCCCGGACGTGTCCCCAGAGCCGCGGCACCCGGGAGGGACGGCGTGGGGCTCCCAGCCCAGCCAGGTGCCGCGGCCGGGCTCCCCCCACCTTCCCACCCGTGGGGCTGTGGGGAGTCTTCGCATTTCTGGACCCTGCCGAGGTCTCTGCTCGGTTGGTTCCTGCAGCCGTGGCTGCTTAAACCCCGCTTGAACAGGCCAACAAAGGAGATGGTGCCGGGAGCTCCGTAAACTCCCCTGGGTACGTGCCAAGGAATTGTTTTATGTACAAACAAGCAAAATCTCTGGAAGGGAAATAGCACCAAGCCTCGCAAGGCATCTGAAAGGGCCAACTGAGGATGGTGGAATTTGTATCTGGTGCCAAAAGTTTCAGGGATAAATATTACTGAAATTCAGTTAGTAACCTCTGTAAAAGCAAGCGCTTCTACCTGCTGGTACGCTGGCCCGGCACCGGTCGAGCATCCCCAGCCTCCCTGAGCTCTGGCGAAATGAATGTGGAAAGAGTCCAGAGTCCACCCTATCTTAAACCCGATGGATAAAAACCTGAGAAGCCCTTGGACGCTAATCCTAAATAATGTCGTTTTTGCTTTCTGTTGTAAAACCCTGCACGTTAGTGCTAGGGAGGCGTTTGTGTGGGCGGAACAGCCCGTGCCGATGGGGCATGGCAGTGCCATGGGGTTTGTTCGTTGTTTCGGAGTCACCTGCCTGGGTTTCTCCTCTCAGGAAACTGTCCCGACCGGCTAAGGCAGCCAGCACCTAACAACAAGTTTTCTTAAAAAAAAAAAAATAAAAAAAAATATAAGGCCAGCCTGCCCTAACTAATCTCTTTAAAACGAGTAAAAATTCCATGGTAGCAACAATTTTGTAAATGCAGCTTTCTGGACGGTTTTGGTTTTGTGCAACCGCAGGGTTTTTGCTTTGCTCTCTGTAACTGGCTCGTAGGAACCCCAGACGCTTGCAGATATAAATATTCCTTAAAACAAAGGGCCCTTTAATCGTGGGCAAGAACCTTACTTATGGCTGCGAGTGGCATTTAACAGCAGAGTGACAACTAAAATACTTGGCTTGGTTACAAAATCTAAACAACACTGGGAACATTAGGAGGATGTCTTCTAGACAGCGGTTAAGCTTAAAATGGAGAAAGACACCGTGATTTCTTATTTTGAAGTGCTGACATTTCCCATATGTTCTTCAGTGAATATGAGCTTGAGATCAGCTTCACTTTGGGACTGGATGTTTGCCCAAGAAAGGTCTAGCAGCAAGTCAGCAATATCCATAGCATTTCACAGACCTGGATGAAGGACACAAAAAAAAAAAACAAACAAAAAACCCCCCAAAAACCCATTTCAGATGATCTGCCCCGGAGTTTAAGAGCAGCGTGTTGTGGGCTAATGTCGAAGGAATGCGGGAGAAACCTGAGACCCGGGAGCTGCAGCGGAGCTCGGTGCGGTGCAGAGGCGACGTGGCTGAGCCTCAGCTGTGCCAGTGCCCGTCAGAGCCGCCGCCGGCTCCTCCAGCTGGGGGGTGGGGCAGCCCTTTACAGCCTTTAGGTAGGAAAGCCTGCAGCCTGCCTCTTGCAAAGAGCCCTCCTACTTGCTGCCTAAGCCTGGAAGTAGCTAAATTCCACGGGACCTTTACGTTTTAATTACAGTTTTTGGGAGGGCCCCTGGAAGCCCCTTTCTGTTGCATGCCCACAGGGGCTCCAGGCTGAGGAACTGAAGCCCAGATTCATTCCCAATGAGGATCCAGCCTGGAAGTCTCCCCCCGCGTTGGCCCTGGGGGCGGTGATCTGGCAGGTCACAGAATCACAGAATG